CAATTATTCGCAAAAATATTTTTAGGATATGGCATATTAAGCTGATGGATCTGTAGTCCTCGCACTTCATTGCCTCGCTCTTCTTAGGAAGTGTAACAAATGTTGACCTTAGCCAGTCACTTGGTACAACTCCCTTCTCGGAAATCGCATTAAATAAGGTGGTGATTGAATTAATTAAATGAAAAAAAAAATACAATAAGGTTTCAGTCTAGTGCTATACCACAAGGTGCTCGTGACTATTAGTTTTTAAATCTTCCTTGGACTGGCCTATTATTTTCTTCCCAGTGTTATCGATAAAATAAATTTAACCTCTAGGAGACCACTTCGTATTTCCGAAACATTGCCCCGCCTCGTACCTTTTAGCCGTTTTCTGGCAGCACATACTCAATTTGTATGATGACTTGATACTTAACCAAAACTGTACCAGGCTTCACCTGATCAATCTTGCCAACACGAAATGTGTCAATATTCGCTGCGGAACATTAAACTTTTAAAAGGCTGAGAACAAGGTCAGCAACAGTTTGAAGCAAATTTTCATCTCTATTTTCTTTTGAACCACATATGTGTAGGCTTAGACTGATGCTCCAGGATGCCGAAATAAAACTGAACCTTATTTATGACTTCAGAGTTTCTTTTCATAACAGATGCGAGATTTTATGATCAAATTTACGAGATTAATGTCTTCATTTCGTCATCGATCCTATTGCGGCCATCCGGCAGTACTTCTAGTATGCGGGGCCAACTTGACTTCAAGTGGACAACTCATTTGCACCGGACGAACCGTAATATAACCTCACCTTGTACAAAATTGTTCTATTAGTTGAAATAAAAAACTTGGTAATCGAGTCGAAGCTTTTACACTTGCAGAGAAGTCCTTACTACTGGCACAGCAACAGGAACATTTATTTTACAATTTTAATGCCAGATTGAACATTTCAATACATTTCATCACAATCATCTTGTCGGCTCTCCGATTTAAATTTTTAAATCGGTAGAAAACCAAAATTTGAGTAAACCTTGGAAAAATAGCTTAAAAATAAGACAAAAAATCCTTACGGTTTTTGATTATGCAGAAGTAAATCACCATATAAAATTAGGTAAACAACGTTGGTGGTAGATTTAAAGCATTATCTTACGGTTTATCTAGTAAACGCGAAAGTTAATAAAGAAAAGCACCAATTTTGCCAACCTAAAAGTAAATTTATGGGTCACATGTTTTCTGAAAAGGGTATGCAAGTTGACCCAGAAAGAATAAAATAAATTCAAATCTCCAATTAATCTAATTGAATTATAAAGAATACTTATTCAATGTCAGACGCTATATAAAAAACATATCTGATTCACCAGCGCTCGTCCCATTTAAACCTTCTAAAAAATAGTTAGTCAATGAGATTAACAAATTTTAAAAACCTTGTTTACTTCAAAATGACCATGAGGTCAATCATAGCCAGACTGAAAGAAAAATACCAATTTTACTACTTACAAATCTTCTGGATTCCTCCTTCGTCGGTTAAAGATGAATTGAACTTACTGACGAAGCCAACAGGATGAACGGCGACAAGTCAGCAAGTTCAATTCATCAACAACGGATGCAGGAGTATTACATTATATAAAAATGAAAAATGTCTTTCTGTGAAAATTCAATGGAAATCGATGAACGTTGTGAAATTTCAGTTCTCAGTTCAGTTCAGTTCAGTTGCTCTTATTTTACTGCCAAAGAAGTAGCGACGCAAGTATCGAAAGCAGCATGAACTTTTTAGTAAATGGTGCAAACCAAAAGGAACAAGAAAAAACACAAAAGCACATGTAGTGCAAAGATATGCTCGCTTTTTTATATTTGAGTACTACTTTTAAAGTTAATCAAATAAACAGTAATTTCAAGATACTGGCCAATTTCCCATACTTAGATGCATTTTTTTATATGTGCTCGTTATTCATTAAACTAAAAAAAATCGGAAAACTGGATTACCCTCATTAGATCGAATATTGGCTTTATAAATATTACACTGTAGTAATAGAACTCTAAATATGAATGTTTCTAGCACACACACGCGTTGAATTTGATTTTTGAACTTTGAATAGATATTTACATTAATCGATCTTTTGGACCCAATAAAGATTCTGCATTATTGATTTTTATGGTTCAATAAACGATTTTTTTTTCAAATGTATGTATTTCTTCTTTTCTATATTATTTTTTTAATTCGTTACTTAATAATCATGCATGTAATCCCCAAATTTCCATGTACCGCGTTCGAGCTTCCTCCCGCTATCAGTACCATAAACCAGTAGCAAATAATCGGCAAATGTAACATATCGTACCAGCAAATCCAAATCCTTAAGAACGCACTGCGAAATCCCAAACATATTACTTCCATTTCCATTCTACAAAATGTTAAACGGCTATAAATTGGCCAAGAAGATTTTGGAGAAACACGGCAGAAAAAAGTATTACTGAGTATTATCACAATTGGCAATTGGTATTCATTGTCGTTTGATAATTGTGTTCAACAAAAAATAAAAAAAATTAAAAAATGATTTTTTTATTATTTATATATTTTAAAATCATTAACACACACCACTACAGTACATCTGCTTTAACTCAACTATATAAGTATATAAAGGTTTCCAGTCATGCATACAATTCAAAATATCTCAGAAATGGCGAGACATGGACATAGTCTAATATATATGAAGTATGCCTAGAAGATGTACAGATAATAATAATAGAAATAATTATACCAATATTTTAAAAGTATGCAAGTTGCAAGTTTTTTTTATATTTTCTGCATATACTGGGATAAGGTAACATGCCATTTAATAGGTACTTGAAATTAATAAGGGTTTTTTTTTTCGATGTTTAGAACTTTAAGTTGCAATAAAATGACGATGGATTATTCGATTGACATGAATTTTATTTATCCGAAAGATAATCTTGTGGCATTGCATTTTAAATATGATTTCTGGCATATGACATATGACGGCTGACGCGGATGTAGACCAATCTGGACGACCAATTTTCGATGACTTTTTCCAACATTTGTGGCCGTATATCGGCAATAACACGGCGAATGTTGTCTTCCAAATGGTCGAGCGTTTGTGGCTTATCCGCATAGACCAATGACTTTACATAGCCCCACAGAAAGTAGTCTAGCGGTGTTAAATCACAAGATCTCACTCCAAATGCGACAGTTTTGTTTGTTGACGTAGCCATTCAACCAGAAGTGCGCTTCATCGCTAAACAAAATTCGCTTATGAAAATCAGGAATAACGGCAATCTCATTTTGGGCCCATTTGACGAATCTACGCCTCACTTGATGATCGTTTGGCTTCAATTCTTGCACGAGTTGAATTTTGCAAGCACGTAAACCAAGATCCTTACGCAAACTCTTCCTGTGCTCGATGGCGGATGGACTCATTCGAGTCTTCCTCAATGCTACGCTCTACAGCAGCAATAGCTTCTTCTGTACGCACCGTACGGCGTCCCTGGGGATGCGAGTTATCAATAAGAGTAAACTTTGAGCGAAAACGTTCCATGGTTAATTGAATTAACTGCTCTGATGGACGATTTTGTCGACGATAAAACGGACGTAGTGCGCGATACGTATTCCGCACAGAACCATTATTTTCGAAATGAAATTGCACTATTTGCAAGCGTTGTTCAGGCAAGTCTATTCATGGTGAATTGCCAAACCAAACTGAGAATAAATCACTTGACAGCTGTTAAATCGGTCGCCATCTTGAACCCTCGCTAACAACCAGACATAGTAAAAAGATTCGGGTTTAATATGTGCCCCGCAAATCTATAATTGGTAGGTCCAGGCTGTTGACTAGTTAAGTAATAGTTATTGATATTCTATATTTAGAAATAAATTTTTGACCCAGAAGATATTGTAAGGAGGCGCACCAACTTCCTCTCCTGTTATTTGTGTTTTGTGATATATTTAGGGGATATTTTAAACATATTGTGCTATATTCTGTTTTAAGAGGTGCAAATATTGATCTTCAGTTAATTTTTGATCTACCAAAAGCAGTCTCTTAATATATGTGCCGAAAGTACCACACCAAACATTAACCGACAGCTACCGTTGTGCGGGTTTTCCTGTAGCGAATTAATTAACTATATCAGCCAAAAGAAAATGCTGTTGCTATCTTGATTTTTAAAACTCAGTTTCTAAAAAAATTAAAAAACTTCAAGTATTATGAGTTCTCAGAAAATTGTTATTGTTTTACATATCATTAAAAAAAATGACTGCTGGCCATATACTTTTTTTATATTTGTCTTGGTACTTTTAAACATAAAAAAGTTTAGCGAATCAATATATTATCCAATCCCATTTCTGAATTTTTAGATACAGAATTATTTTGAAAATGTTTAGACTTCCATTCTTGCTCAGTTATGTTTATTTTTGAACACGTTGTGTATATGCGTAACTCAAAGACAAAGTCTACATCTGTAATTGAATAACTGATAAAAAAACGGTGTGCATTTTGCTAATACGCTTTAGCTGTCAAACTATAGTGACATTTCGTTTTTTTTTTCTGTGTTATGTATAACAATTATAAGAAAATAGATATAGCAAGCAGGTGTTAGGAATGCGCATCTAATATTGAACACACACGTTAATATTAATTGGTAACTACATTTTTGTTATAAATGTTTTTTTTACGTAAAAATGCTCTTATGTGTTTTATATCTACAAACCATTAAAAAATACTAAAAAGAAAACTCTCTATGGCCCTAGATTCTATTTAAAAAGCCCCATTCAGGGCAGTTTTTACCTTTAAGACTCATGATCGAGCTATAGAAGGTGTTTTTTGAGAATTGGACATACTGAAAACACCCGATTGCTCTCAAAGCCGTGACATAAGTATCGGAAACCCTCAAACACACTCACGTCAGGGTTCAATGGATCTGTCGTATTAAAGTGACACTTTGTCCACCTGGGGCAATAGCCAACTTTATCTTTTATATATAATACAATGATTTTGCTTTCTAGTTTGCTGAACTGGACACTGAATAATTCATCGGTATTAAAAGCTATTAATCATGGCGTCGAAATTTACATTGATCTTATATTTAGTTCGCCACATGACCTCCAACTGACGCTACAGTTCATTAAGCAGAACATTGAAGTGCTTGTTAAAGTGTAAGTCAGAAATATACCTAGCTATTTAGAAATAATGTACAGTGCTTCTCAAATCATACAGTATCCATTTTCTTTTGACCCATTAAAAATACAAATTTCGAGCTATGGTATTTGTGGGATTTAATGATACAACTAATATTTTGACGTCAGATAACGCCGTATCTCCGGAGTCTTTTGGTGGGCACAAAAATTTTATTTAATCAGCCGTTGTAATTGAATAAAATTTGACATCCAAGAAAAGTTTATTTAACTTAATTTACTGTTAGTAATTTAATTATAAAAATATATTTGTTGAGGTTACAACTCAAAAGCTATAGCCTAAATGTAATGCACAAAAACATTTAACACGTTCTTTCCTTTTTCACATCACAAAAATGCATGCAAAACTTCCAGTGTTTTGGAAATATTCAAATTACAATTCAAAATTCCCTTATGCTTTAAAAATAAATAATTACTTAAAATATGAAAAGGGAGGCAATAAAAAACCATATTAAACATTAACAATTTGCTCGCCTAACTAAACTAGAACCCTTTTATTATTGTTAGCCTTGCAGCGCTTCCAGGTTATTGTACTAGTTTTTTTTAATGTTCGATTTATATTAAGTTTCTACGATAGTCGATTTCAAAGTTTGGAAACAAGCGTTTCATGGATAAATGGGTAAGTAATAACTCTCACAATGGATTCCAAAATCATAGCAGAACCCGGAAAGTTATCTCTTTTTAAGACAGTTAATCTGAAAATCTTGCTTCACTGCTTCAAATAAAGAACTTCCGTCTAACTAGCCTGCTTTTCTTCTGCATCTTTTCGACCTCAAAAAGATTTTCTAATTGAAATCCGTTTCCGTCGATATGTAATTCGACAATGGAATTCGAGAAAAAAAATTCTAATTGAAATCCGTTTTCGTCGATATATAATTCGACTATTGAATTTTCGAAGACAAACCCCTCCGAAGGAGCTTTTAAAGCTATGTTGTCAGAATTTATAACTACATTAGAAACTATTACAATTTTTTTATATTCAAATGTCGCTCTCACTAGGTCATAGGATTATTAATATTAATATCCACATCTATTTCTACATCACTTCGACCAGGATTTTTCGAGACACTCCATCACAGAAGATTTCGATAAAGTGGAATTTACGATAAATCGCCTGAGCAACACTCACTTAACCATATAAATTTCCAAATTCTTAAAAAAATTAATTCGATTGTTATATTACCACTTAACTAGATAGTGAACTTAAAGGACCAAAAGTTGACGTTGGAGTAGCTATACAAATAAAATATGGTAGCAAAACAAACCGTATAGGTACATTCAATGTTTCTAAAATGCACATCATGAAGGCAAAGTCCATGCTGCGCAAGGACTCCCCTGGAAATTCTTATTAGGGACATCAGGATCAAGGAAACACGCAGGACCATCAAAAACCGAATATAACGAATATTTGCCTTTTATTCTTTATTTGATTCTAGCACCTTGACTATTCTGGTTAAAAAAATATTACAATTAAAATAGAAAATAAACTTTGTGTTGCCCTAATTGATCAAAGTCAAAATTCTAAAGAAGTTTCTACATTTTCAGAAAATTTTTGGATTTATTTTCGACATTCTATTTCCAACTCACCACAAGTACTACCCCCCATATCGTTCGCCTTAAGGAATACAAAGTCCATACGTCCATGCGTCCATATCCTGTCTCCGCAAAAAACAAAAATATTCTGTATAATTTACTGCAGGATATGCTTTTACATGGTGCAATAGAGCCCAACGATTCACTTTTTTGTTCTCCTCTTGTACTTATTAACCAAGGCAAAAGTTTTGCGCCGACCCCATTTCAATGACAGAATTCTAGTATAATTGGTCATTTATTTAATTTCAATGTAAATTTTTATTTTTTATTTACAATTAAATTTAAAAATAATAAAGTAAAACTTCATCATCGAAATGTAAAATCGCTGTTGAAGAAAAAAGAAATTACCTGGAACATGACACGTTGAATATCAATAAGCCACAGACCTAAATGCACTTCTAAATTATGAAAGTCGAAAAAAAAAAACAAAATCTATTTTTCTGGGCAACATGTAATTGGCAATGTTATACAATATTAAAATACTTGTTTTTTGTATCTAAGGTATTTAAATAAATCATCTGGTGTCAGATATCCAACAAAGCGTACCCTAATATTCAGTAAATACATTTTATAAATTTTAATAAAATATTTCTTTTGAATTACGGTTTTTGAACAATGTGTGGCTTATTATATTTCATATCTTCACATTCGGATGGTGTTGATATAAAAGAGCTTTTTATTCCATTCCAAGTTGCTAAAATTACTAAAAGAGTTTTTTTAGTTAATTTTTATATATACTTTAGAAACATAATTAATTTAAAATTTCATCTTGATGGTCCTGGTCTCCTCACATGTTATGTCATTATTACTTGCCATAACTGATTGTGCTTTGTTTTTATATCCCAATACTAACATAAAAATACAGTAATATAGTACGTAAAATTATTGACTACCAAATATTTATAAATCAGTGACGCTCTTTGTTTTCAAATAAGTTTGAACAGAATTTTTGTTTCTTTTTTCAATGGAAATGGATCTAAAACAAGTTACTCAATGATCTATACATTTTTTGGAGGGTTGCGTAATAAAATATCAGTTCCAAATAAGTATGATCAAAGATATTCAAATCTTATTATCTTGGATCTGTCTAAGGACAACTGCCTAAATTCTGTGAAATGACGGGATAGTGAGCTAAAATTAAAGCACTATAGTTCATTTGTGTACTCGGATTATACAAAAAAAAGTTGTAGTGTAAATAGCAGATTCTTTTTAAGCAATATTTATTACAATGTAACTGTTAAATCCGCAAAGCGAACACCCGGGCAAGAACCGCGAAAGTTTAAAAATTTAGTGGCCCGTAAGGTGTCGCCGCCATGCGGAAAATGTAGAGCTAAAAGAGAGGGAGAGCGCGCGCACGTGCGACGAAGAACGTGCTTAACGTTTTTCGCGTTCGAACTTGGCATCGATAGCACGCCGATAGTGTTGAACCCCCAAAAGAAAAAACTATTGTCTCCCTACGCGTTGCGTGTGCGTGTGAACCACCTCCACCGTACCGAGACCGTGATCCTCAAGATCGAAGAGGAGCTGCTATTGGGGACCCAGTCCAGCGAGACAGCAGCGACAAGAGGTTAGTGCCGTCTCTACCCTCATGTCCACGTCTTGCGGGCTCTGCTTAAAAAATTACAGTCCGCTTTAAATTAACCTCAGGGTCGCGACGACCCAGTAACTATTTCATCATATTCCTATTTCTATATAAGTTTTTATTTACTTCATTTTAGAATATAAGAGAGAGAGAGCGAGAGAGAGAGACAGAGAGAGAGAGAGAGAGAGAGAGAGAGAGAGAGAGAGAGAGAATACAAGTTGCTTTCAACCGGGCTAGATTGCTTTGGTCATTCGCCCATTTTCTAGCATATGCCAAGGATTTTTCTTTTGGTCACAGACAAACACGTAAAAGAAACTATAACCAACAATTGTTCTCAGATTGCTAAGGACTTTGAGCGATAACAAAAAACGACGTTTCCGCCTGAGACAATACGGGTTCATTCGGCCTTCGACTAAACACGTTGCATACTAAATCCACACAATAGAAACATTATAAAGTATTCTGCCCCGACCGGCCGGGGGTTAAACCTCCATGTGCAATGCTCATGACAGAATCCATCTCAGAAGTAGTTGTATAAACTACTTTCCCACCACTGAAACTATCATTGCAATTTATCTGAACTCTACGATATAACTTTAACAAACTTAACGTAACTTAATTTACAGAGCTCGTGTTTCATTGGTTCTTTAGCATAAAAAGGTAGTCCCAATCAAACCAAATATCGATCCCTACATATCTTTTTAAATGATTCTGGTGGGTCCGAATTTGGGTACTGTACTACATATGCAAATTAATGGTTCGAATTCTGCCGTAGGTATGGTAAGGAAATGTATGACGTTATATTGAATATGGTAGATAGATTCCCAGACAAAAAAAATTTTGACCAGGTAAAAACTTTTTTTTTCAAATTTATTGCTTGTTTTTTATGATCTTTCTTGTAGATCGAGGACTGGAAGATGCCTCAAAGTTTTGATCCAACGTTTCACGAAAAAATATCGAAAATTCTCAAAGATAGTCTTCCTCGGCTCGACTGGATCAAATTGCATAAGGATGAATTATACAACTATTACGATATAATTGCAGATTCTGGTAATTAATTTTGACCCGATCAATAATCAATTTATTATGATGACTGAAAAAATGAATTATGAACGTAGAAAATGTTGGACTACATTCATATCTGATTCTATACTTTTTTAAAAAGTCGAAAAATTAAAAAAAAATCAAAAAAGTCCGTTGTTTTACTTTTTTATGATAATGTCTGCACAACGCTGATGAGTCTGAAAAAAGACGAAACTTTTGTTGCTTTTTTGTTGTAAGACAATCTTGCATTAATCAGGTATATGTATCCATTGAAAATATCAAATTAGCGCTTTTTTTTGTTTTACATTTTTATTCATATTATAGGCTGGAAAAAGTCTGTTGAGATACGGTTTCACTGTGTTCTTGGTTTTTTAATTGACTATCCGTTGCTGTAAGAAAAGATAGAGCAAAAAACTTTAAAATGAAGATTTCAATTTGTAATCAAAATTTAAGCTCGTGCAAATCCATTGCTAAACAGCGATATCTGCGGCAGTTACTGACTACATTTTTTCATCCATGTATAAAATTATATGTCAAAGACAAAAACGCATTTGGTATTTTGTTATTGGCATTTCTAAACGGTTACCACTCCGCTCACCATGTCTCCGATTACGAAGACAAATTCTCAAACAGTTGTGTTAGTTCGTTCCTCTCTTCGCTCAATTTGCGGACCAAACGCTCCTTAGACTCGTATTAAGAATCTCCTAAAAACGAAACTTTTCACGAATACCAAAGTCTATCCCCATATATATATATATATATATATATATATATATATATATATATATATATATGGATATATATATATATATATATATATATATATATATATATATATATATATATATATATATATATATATATATATATATATATATAAGAAGCGAAGGACAGTAACGGGGCTACTGGTAACACACAAACAAACTGTTAATTATTGGGATCACCCCAACTTCGATGGATCGCCGTAAAGGGAGCAATAGAAGATGTTGAAGCTCAAAGCAAAGTGGCAATTTATTGTAATATCTAGCTTTCGCCCATGGATACAGGCTTCATCAGGACACTAAGTCATATAGAGAACAAAAAACACTTCATCAGAGTTAACAATCTAACCAAAAAATAGTGAAAAAAAGCTTACACAACACGCCTCTTTCAACCTCTACATATAGAGAGATGACATTGGTATATAAAATAAAGTGTTTCGCCCGCTCTAACTATCAACATAACACTCGATGGATGAAATTTATGGAAAAAATTTATAATTGTAAAAAATATTAACATCCACCACAACGTTACAAAACAAACCCACTAACATAAAACGTTAAGGTCAATAAAATATCCGGATTGATAAAATATTAAAAGATGAAAAAAACAGCCGAGAAGGAAAACTAAATGTGCGGGGACTTATTAACAATTCGCAAACAACTTAAAAAAAAAAGCCACAACCAAAAAACCAGTCAATGATACCAACTGTACAGCCAACCATAACATATGTAAAACACCGAACAAGGGAGGGACTTTCAAACAGAATTCTTTCAAATATGCACCCATTGTACACTATTTATATAACTATGTTTACATTATTGAAGTTAACGTTAAGGGTAATTAGAAACAATCCTTTAGGAACGGGGAGAAAGAAACAAAGAAAGGAAACTGTTTTTAAACATTAATAGCAACAAATTTAGCAACCCACTACAACCTGACAGTATCAAAAAACTCTGGTAGCTTATGCTTCGCAGTACGACTCTGATTAAGAAGATAGGTGTAGATGCTACTAAGACCCTCAACATCCTTCTTTCTGTTGAGGCTATTACTACAACAGTTAATATAACACATCTCTAAAAACTTACGTTTGAAGAGGTTCTTTTCACTCTTTAATACTACCGCTTCATCGTACATGACACTATGTCCGGTATCATTGACATGAGCACTTAAACTAGTAATATTTGGTTTTAACTTACAATCACTTTTATGAAGTGTTAGCCGTTTTTTTAACTTCTGTGAAGTATGACCAATGTAAATTAAATTGCAAGAGCATTTAATGCAATATACAACATCTGATTTATGTAACGATGGGGTAATGTTTTTAAGATTGGAATAGAAAGATTTGAGGGGTCTTAAGTTGTAATTGGCAATTTTTATATTAGTATCTTTAAAGATCCTAATCAGAGCCGGGGACAATCTATCTATATACTGTAATTTGCCAAAACTAGGCAACTCATTATTAACATTAAGCTGTGGTTGTAAAGCATTAGGCAGGTCTGTAGTGGCACTATTACAGGAGAAAATTTTATTTATTAACGATGGTGGGTATTTATTATTAATTAGTAGGTTCCTTAATAACAATAAGTTCTTATTTACCAGACTATGGTGACAAATTTTTTTAATGCGATCAGTCAATGCTACAATCATATTGATCTTTTGTTTTTTAGGGTGATACGATGTGAAGGGAATGTATCTACCGGAACTAGTAACTTTTCTATGCCAATCAAGAATAACTAAATTTTCACTAGTGCGAATGACCTTTGTGTCAAGGAAAGGGACTGAACGATCTGTCTCCGTCTCCACCGTGAAAGTGAGATCGGAATGAAAGGAATTGAAAATTTCAATTGTGGATTCGATGAGGTTAAGTGGAACTGCTGTTAATAAATCATCCACATATTGATATATGAAGGGGAATTCAAAACTAACTCTGTCTATCACATAATAAAGTAATTTGTTCATAACAATCTCAGCAATCACAGGGGAGGCCGCACCCCCCATAAGAAGGCCCTTCACTTGTTGGTAGAATTTTCCATCAAATGAGAAAAAAGTATTATTATATAGAAAAGTTACCGTATCCAAAAACTCCTTCTTAGGTAATGTACAGTTGGGCTCAACCAAGTCGAAATGTTCCTCTATAATATCAACAACTAACTGTAATGGAATATGAGTAAATAAGGACACTACATCGAACGAGACAAGTGAAAAATCAGATGGTAAAATAGACTCATTAATACGCTCCGCAAACTCAAAGCTATCTTTAACCCTAAACTTATTGAAGCTACTAAAAGACTTATAAAGAATTTGACTGATAAATTTAGCTAAGGGTTGCGTCGCCGCACCTACACATGAAACAATAGGGCGTAAAGGGTAACCATCTTTATGTATCTTCGGCAACCCATAATATTTGGGGCAGACACCATTGTAGGTTTTGAGGTTACGAGCCGTGGTATCATCAATATAGCCAAGGTTGTTAATTTTCTTGATAATATTATTGCATTGCGTTTCTATTGAATGTGTAGGGTCCCTTATTACAGGTAGGTAAGTGTTAGCATCATTTAATAATATGAGAGTTTTTCTATGTAATCTTCTTTAGTCATGGCCACCGTGACATTACCCTTATCAGATTTAGTGATAACCAAGTTAGGATTAGCTTTTAAAAATCGTTTCGTACGACGCTCTGTATCATATGTAGGTGTTGCGACACTAGCAACAACACTAGAATTAATGTAATTAGTGATGAGATTAGTGGCCCTCGTTCGCAGGAGGTCTCGTTTTTGTTCATCTGAGTTCTGGATAATAATTTCTACCTCAGAGAGTAGTTTAAAGATATCTATATGTTGAGGTGACACAGGAAGGCTAAATTTAGGACCAAGCGAAAGAAAACCCCTAACATCATCAGGAATCTCAATATTGGACACATTCTTGAACCAATTAGAATTGTCAGTGGTATATAAATCACTACTATTAGCTTTCCTTGATTTTAACTTTCGAAGGTTAGACTTTTTTATCTTGTTAAATAGTGTGTCATATTTAATGTTTTGTGTATATAAAAATTCGTCAAGGACTCTAAATGGAATGTTACATCTTAAGAAATCAACAGCCCAACTAAGTCTAGATTCCAACATCTTAATTGCTCGACAGGTGTCATAGATAGTAATGTTATGTAATTTATGTGTTACCTTCTGAGTTAAAAATTCTATTTGTGAAGTGTTACTGTGGTTGAGTCGTTGAGGTATCTTCCAAAAATGTTGTGTACTATCCTCCAAAAATCGGGGGGTCAGGTGCAATCTTCTGCATTCTAACAAGAAAACGCGTCTGTTACGTTGATGTGCAAGTCTTCTATTAGTGTTGGTGACCGTTTTTAGTGCTCTGGTCACAGAGGATGACAATGGAATTTGGACCAGCTCAGAGTCGTACTGCGAAGCATAAGCTACCAGAGTTTTTTGATACTGTCAGGTTGTAGTGGGTTGCTAAATTTGTTGCTATTAATGTTTAAAAACAGTTTCCTTTCTTTGTTTCTTTCTCCCCGTTCCTAAAGGATTGTTTCTGATTACCCTTAAAGTTAACTTCAATAATGTAAACATAGTTATATAAATAGTGTACAATGGGTGCATATTTGAAAGAATTCTGTTTGAAAGTCCCTCCCTTGTTCGGTGTTTTACATGTTATGGTTGGCTGTACAGTTGGTATCATTGACTGGTTTTTTGGTTGTGGCTTTTTTTTTTTTAGATTGTTTGCGAATTGTTAATAAGTCCCCGCACATTTAGTTTTCCTTCTCGACAATACGGAGTGTCATTTGCAACAAATCGGCTGTTTTTTTCATCTTTTAATATTTTATCAATCCGGATATTTTATTGACCTTAACGTTTTATGTTAGTGGGTTTGTTTTGTAACGTTGTGGTGGATGTTAATATTTTTTACAATTATAAATTTTTTCCATAAATTTCATCCATCGAGTGTTATGTTGATAGTTAGAGCGGGCGAAACACTTTATTTTATATACCAATGTCATCTCTCTATATGTAGAGGTTGAAAGAGGCGCGTGTTGTGTAAGTTTTTTTCACTATTTTTTGGTTAGATTGTTAACTCTGATGAAGTGTTTTTTTGTTCTCTATATGACTTAGTGTCCTGATGAAGCCTGTATCCATGGGCGAAAGCTAGATATTACAATAAATTGCCACTTTGCTTTGAACAAATAATTAACCGTTTGTTTGTATATATATATATATATATATATATATATA